GATTTTCCTCGCGGATTCGGACCTGTCTCCACTGCCGTCCTCTTCGAGCTTAAATCAAGAATAGATTCTCTCGGGCCGAGAAGAATCCCTCGCCATTTTCCACGGCGTCGTCGGCTCGTTTTCTTTTCAACCGCGCCGCGCCGTTTGAAGCGCGTGCCGCGTCTCGTCCATATGGTTTCCCTCCCTTCTCGATCATCCCGGTGGGTTCGCCGAGCCGGGGCAATAAATATCATAACCTGAAACCCCCGTGGAAGTGTTAGGCCCCCGACTTAATCCGAGGCAAAGCCGCGAGACTCGTTTCGCCCGTAGGTGTTCGCTGCCTGGTACTTTCTCGCTACCACGGATACTTTGTCAGCGCGGGATTTCGCCTCGTCGTTTCGTACCATCCCAACGATTAAACGAGCTTTCGACGTTCGTGGAAATTCTTTCTCGGCTTAGGATACGACCCTTCGATCCTGCCTTTTAATCTTTCAAGGAAAAATGGGATTATTTTATTCGCAAGATTAATTTCACTCACGGTTTTCTATATTTTTCTCAGAAAATAAATGTTTACCTAAAATTTATCTTAAATTCTTCAAACTGACGGTATAAATACTTTATTTTGCATGGAAATTCGCGCCCTAGTTATTACGATCGATACCAGCTAGGATAATCGTCGAGTCCGACGCGCGTCGCGACTGGTTTTTGCGGATTATCCGCTACTTATCATGGCGTTCGTTACTTCTTAAGTGGGAACGGTAGGAAAAAGGATGAAGCCGAGCAAAGTATTAAGGGTCGCAAGCTCATTAACGCGGCCCGTTGTAATGAGGCGAGGCTTACAACCGGTGCTCGTGAACATCTGTCAGGTTTCTTCCGTGCTATCCTGACGTAAAATCGAGAGGAGCTCCGATCTCGTTTATTTTACGAAGGAATTAATAAAAATAATAATAATAATAATAATAATAATCACGATGAACATTAAAGAACTGGTAAAGGAAGCGATTATAGCAATGAAACTAATCTGGAGCGTCCGCCAAAAGGGATTAAAAAATAATTTCGAGAGAAGACAAATGATTTTTAATAAAATTGTTAAAAGCGTTTTACTACATGGAGCAGAAATCTGGGAATAGAAAAAGAGAGAGAGAGAGAGAGAGAGAGGCTGGAACAGACACAAGAAAATACTACCTTTGTCTGATAATAATAGTTGTAATAAGTTATTATAGAAGTTGTATAAAAAAAAGGGTTACCTGCCTTTTAATGACTAAATAAATAAATATGAACGTAAAATCCGCTGTCTAAGTAATAACATTCTCATTTTATCAAACGTGCCAAAATACTTTTTGCGCCCGAAGCGAGCGCGAGCCTTCGAATGATTTTCTTCAGCGAGAATAGACCGCGGGACGTAAGAAAGAAACGGCGAGGAAGGGAAGAAGTCGATGGAATTTGAAGAAGAGTCCGAGGCTCGCTGGCAGACGGTGCCGTAGATAAAGATAGATGCGTCGGTTTCCGGCGTGTCGAGTTAACGACTCGAGTTTTATCTGTCGGGCTTCCCTACCCTGTGTCCCTTGTTCCTTGCCGACTGTCGGCGAGAGGGGAAAGGAACGTGTACCGACGCGTTAACGCGCGGAGGAGATGAACCCCGAAAGAGGAATTAATAATAGCTTAATTGGTGAACGGTGAACACCGTGCGTGTGTGTGTTTGCAGTAAAAATTTCACCCTCTCTCCATCGGACGGAGTCTGAAACCGTAAAACAAATCATGAAACTCCTTGTAAGATTTTTAAATAAATTATGTCGTAACAAAATTGAACAGCCGGGAATATTTTTGAACGAGGCCTGGCATAAATTTGTAACTTGCATAAACGAGGCGCAAAATAAATCCATACGGAAGAAGTAGCGGGGTTAAAAGAAAGAGGGACGAGGCTCGAAGAAGAAAAGGAAGCGGCGCTGGAGGGAAGCGGGCAGAAGCGTATACCACGAGTCATCTGGCACTCAGCAGGATTCGAAATAGACTCGGTCTCGTTCGCTCCTCCCTCGGCCGGTTATTTTCCCTCTCTGTCCGGCCGTTCATCAGCGAGCGAGAGGAAAGCCGAGAGTAAAAAGAGACTGCCGCGGCGACGCGACGGGGTCGACGATGTTTTCATTGTAATTATGTCCCCTGGTCCCTCTGGACGTTCACCGGAGCTTTTTACGGGCCTCGAGCTACTAAGCAGCCTGTCAAACCGTCCTAATTCTTCCCCCCCTCTGGATTCGTCACTTCCTCCGTTCTTAATTCACAACCCGGCCTCGGGCCATTCGACAAAATCGTTCCATTTTCTGCGACTCGAACTTCTTTTCTCTGTCATTTCTACTAATCGCTTCTTAAATTTCTCCAAAAATTTATTAACTCTCTGGACTGGAATTAGAATTGATTTCGTGTCTCGGCGGGGAAAAGAGAAATTCCCATGATACCTGAGAAGTTGCAGAGACGTCATAATTTGTTGGCGTAAAAACGAGATGACAGAGAGAAGAGGCTTTTTAAAGTAGGGGTTACGCATCGCGGATTGTGTGACAAAGTTGTTAACACGAGTCGGCCGCGTAAAGCAGGTAACGAGTAGCCAGTAATCGAGATCCGTAGACTCTGAGTAAAGTCAAACAGCCGGGAACGGTTGTCTTTGCTGAGCAAACTCGCGCCCGGTGCGGAGCCAATATTTAGACAGAGGCCGTGGGGCTCAAACATCGTAATACGCGTTAAAACGTTATGACACGCGCCAATTGCTGTCTCTATTTCCTCCTCTGACCGTTCACGCCTGCTTCTGCTTCTGCTTCTGCTGCTGCTGCTGCTGCTGCTTTTCACACGAAGTCGTTTAAAACGACGTAAAAAGGGGCTCGAAGAAAACCGCTGGTGAAACGGGAAAACTGTTTTCATTCTATTTTTTAAGGTCGTACGAGCCAGGAGATTTTTGTCAAAAGTTCAAGAAATTCGATAAGAACACATCACAATTTCTACTTACTTTGTATGCTGAAATTTAAATGGTTCGTCATTGTTTTTGCTGAACAGCTCATGGAACCTTAAATTACGATGAATTCGTCATTCAGTTTATTAAGATGCTATTGTTTATGCTGGAACGTGAAGAAAGGGTAGATGTCGATTGAAATTCAACTCCCAAAATTAATTCGTCGATTCTCTTTCACGGCGTAATGAACGTCCCATAAAGTAGTTCCTGTTGACACGGGCTGTAGAGAACGTGTCTCGGTTTTCGAAGCAAACGGTTGGATAAAAATTTATGGCTGGAAACGGGGTGGGACGTAAATATCGGGGATATTTCTCGAGGAACACGTTCCGGGACGCGCAGGGAACAGTCAAACAAACTAATTGAAAGGCAGATGGTGAAATATACCGATCCGTGATTTTAATGAACCCTCGTAGACTTCTACGATGCCGTAAACGCTCCCATTTGCGTCTTCTCTTCTGTCCCCGAGGTATTATATGTGTCTACTGGTAACAGGAAAATTTCGACGTCCGTCGACGTAAACTGCTTCATTCGAATTTTCTTTTTTTTATATAAAAAAGTAATAAAGGGAGGAATTTGAAAAATTTTGTTCCCTCGACACGATTTCGTCCGGCAAGATTTCCTTTTGGGTCCCCGACGAGAGAGATGTCCTCGTTTTCCTGAGAGTATCCTATCGGATTCCAACGAAATTCCTGAAACGCACGACCTTGGCACTAACTTACACGACGGTTCTCGCTTCGGCGGACTCTCGGCCGCTTTCCAATAAAGATCTCAGCCCACCTGACGACGATGTCTCCCCGTGATTCCTGGAAGAATCCTGGAGGCTCGCGAAGAGAGGAGACGGGGAGAGAGGCGCTCGTAAAGAGCCGCTGACGATTGAGCGACCCAAAGAGAATATCTTTGAAGGTACGGGACACGCGCCATTAACCGATGTTCCGAGCGTGGCGAATGGCCGTCAGTCAAAACGCGAAAGCCGCTCTATTGCGCGAGGATCTGGCTTGTTCGTCCTCTGTATTTCGGTCGTTAAGAGAAGAAACGACTATTCTCATCGCCCGAAACTGTACCCCGAGCCTCTTCATCTCTTCATTTTAATTTGTTCATTTAGGTCACGTCCACGGTTATTAGAGACCAATAATTATAATACATAATATAAAAATAAATAACATAAAGTCTTAATACATAGTTCCTTATTGATACGATGGGTACATAATTTAATAGATTGAATTTCAATTATATTTAATAATTTATATCTTTGAGAAAACAATGAAGCTTAAAATGTGACTCTCCGATCCATCATCGGTAAGTGGATCTGTACGAGACTCGCATGCATTCGGCGAACAAACTTGAGACAATTTTCGAAGGAAACAGTGTTCTGAAATACACCGGACACGCACCATTTCCCGATACTCCGTGCGTGACGAACGGTGGCACACTTCGCTCGCCATTTCTCAGATTCCTGCCTTTGCCACGGGACCTTCGTCTCTGTAAAAACGAGCAAGAATCACGACGACTTTTGGGAACGGGGGCTCTCTCTCGGCCTTGGTAGGTACTTGGAAGACACCTGTTCCCGCGCGGCGCGGGCAGGAATAGAATGTTTGACGAAGAGACACGCGCCATTTGTCACGGCTTCGAGCGTGTCGTAATTTCGTTTGTCAAACGAGCTCTCAGTCTTCTCTTCCTTCTCTTTTCATTGTCCACGCGGTATGATTAATCTGCCGCGGCAGAACCACGTCTCTGTGCCGCGGAGGCTTTTAAGTATCTTTATATATGACAGAACGAGAGATGGATCCACTCGTCATATTTTAACTAACAAAATAAAATATCAATCAACTAGCAATGTAATACAGTCAGACTTGCGGTAATTTTCAAATTTATTAAAACGATATTTTGCTATTTTTCAGATTGTCCAGCAGCACAACGGCGATTGGTAGCGCGGCCACCGGCGGTGGAGGTGCGGCCGGTGGCGGTAGTAGCGGAGGCGGTGGCGGCAGCGGTGGCGGTGGCGGCGGGGCAGCCGGGAACGGGACTTCCGGCGGTGATTTCCTCCGTAGAAGTCACCCCCTCTCGGAGCATACGGCCCTGCATCCCGCTTACCGGCTCAACTACATGGACCACCTTTATCACCAGCTCCAGGCCTCCACGCACAGTCCCAACGCCTCGTTACACGGTAATTATTGTCACAGATGCTTCTAGAGAAGCGGACAGGAGAGGTCACAGACTTCATACACAGAGTTTTACATACAGGGTGTCACGGAAAAAATGATGAAACCGGAGAGGGGTGATTCTGTAGGCATTTCTGGGTGTTAAACTGAAAATCGTTTCGCGATCCACCGTGAATTTGTGAAAGAGATATAATTTTGAAAAAATTTAATACTGAATTCGTAAAGACAGACAGGCTAACGTCGTTCAATAAAAGGGGTAGTAAAGTACTCGACCGTTATTGAAAGCGAGGAAGTTCAAAGGACCCGCATTTCCGGCGGAAGAATCCCTTTAATAGACGGGGGCTTTGAATCCGTTAAACGCACCCTGTCCTAGTATACGGGATATTATTATGTATTTCCTACTTGAAACTGGTGGTTGCTGCAATTTTTTGTGTCGATTTTGCAGGGCTGGGTGGTTTGGGCCCCGAGTACCTCCTGCACGCGGCGGGACCGGCGAGTACCCTCGCTTCATCAGAATTTCCCTTTTCCATCGACGGTAAGTTGTCTTAAACTTCATCCCATCAGTAGTCTCGATTCGCTGTGAAAGTATTTCCATAATTTATACATGTGTCCACCTAACTCATTGGCCCGACACACACATAAACAACCTTCGCTCTTACTCTCACTCTAAAAGGGACACCTAGCTGTCTGCATTTATAGTGGATTAAAATCCAATGAGTTTAGGTGTACACATTGAGTTATATAAAATATCTGGAGTGTGCGCGGCTGTCAAAAGTCGTAAGATAGAAGAGTAGCGATGATGCTCCAAGAAGCGAGAAGCTATGGGGGATCTCTGTCCTTCTTTTTATATTCTCTCTCTCTATTTGTATTATCTTGTAGTAAATTTAACTATGGTGGGGATAGAAGTTCAGTATTCTATCGAATCACTTGAATTTATAACATTGTCAATCACTCGACATATACGCGTTCGAGTTCAGGTTCAGAAAACATGCATTATACACCTAAAAAGAGAAAGAGATTCCTTCACGGTTCCTCTTCGTCGGCGAACGTACCCCCCCCCCACGAATGATTCGTTCACACTCCAGATGTTTTATATAGCTCAATGGGTGTACATCGCCACTTATAGCTTAGACTCGAGTCTTGCTTGAACGTAGCGAGATAAATTCAAATGTCGACTACATATTCGTGAGAAGATTCAAAATGTCGATTCGGCGAGCGAAACATTTTCGCTGGACGTTCGCATCGAGGACGACAAGTGAATCTAACGAAAGCGATATCCCGCTGCACACGCGTTAGCAATCGTAAGCGGAGTAGGTGTGTAGTAGCGCTAGCAGCAGGTAGAGGAGAGATCGACCGGTTAAGAGGCCGAGAGGCTAAAAGACGACTGAAAGGGTAAACGGGGGGGCCTCGTTAGTCGCCACCGCCGCATAATTGAATCGACTCGGAGCGACACGACCTCATTAACACCTTAGCGCCTACCCTACAGGTTGTCTCACGTTTCCTCGTCCTTCCACCTTCCTTTCTCCGCTCTCTAGCGCTGCGTACGATTTACTACGAGTACCCGATCAAATTCTATATTCCAACAACTTGAATTAAACTTAAGATGGTCTCATTAAAATGCTAGGCACTTCAAATCCTAATCGAACTGTAGTATGTTATTTTTCAAATCGTAAAAGCAATCAAATGTTTCAAATAATGAAGCTTAGGAAGCTGTACTTTAACACAGAATTGTATAGGAGTCATGCACCTGTCAATAAAAACTATTAAAATTAGTATCCTTGAACTATGCAGATTAAAACAAAAAACTAAGTAGCGGAATTTTCTAATAACTGGAAAAGTATATATGTTTGTACGTCGAAAGAGTTCGTCCACGATTTGTGATTTGAGCAGACCTGTAGCGATGGGTAGCGTGCGCCGTGGCAGCGTGGAACGAGCCGCGCCGATCGCAGTGGCCGATTGCACCAATTTACATGTCTCAATCCCATGTTAGCCTTAGCGAGGGGTGCGGCGGAGCGCGGAGGGTGGAACGTACGGAGCGTGTAGAAGTCCGGAGGGTCGTGGGTCACGAGGACGTTCGTCTCGGGGCCAGTCGAGAGTCGTTCGCATATTCATTAAAGTCCGAGCCTATTCCTACGTCTCGAACCGAGCCTCTCCTGGGGACAGATAAGGCGATCCGTTCTTTGTCCCCGAGGAAGAACCCCGTCGAATATGCGAGCACTCCGTGTATACGTTGAAACAGGGCTATTTAAAAGTCGCTAAACGAACGACCTCGAGACGATCGGTGGAACCTTAAACGTATCAGTTCATGCGGAAAAACCGCACGAGCAGCCCTCCTCCTTTCTCGACGATTTCTGCCCGCCGTAAATTTGATCGTTTGCTCGAATTAATAATCGGGGAGCGACGGGGATAAAAGGAAGGCGCGCGCGTCCGCGGAGCAGGCGAGAAGGAGCCTCCAACCGCGAGTAACCCTACACCCGTTGTGCGCGAACGAGCGATCAACCGAGTGGAAACCAAATAGAAGGAGCTGTGTGTCTGCCTGGTGTTTCTCTCTCACTCTCTCTCTCTCCACCTGGAGAACGACGGTTGATTGTCTGTATCACGTTGCCTCGTGTGAGACCACGCGAAAAGGTGGAGAAGCTCAGGCGAGGAAACAGTTTGAAACGGAGAGGAGGACACGGAGAATGGAGAAAGGTGAACGAAAGTTGAGAAAGCGGCAGAAATTTCTGAGGATAAAGATGGATGAAGAAAAATTAGGTAGAGTTCCGGGTCTTTATTGCCGGATACGAAGTTTTTTTTTTAAAGAAACAAGGAATAATAACATTTTATATTAACAAAAAATCTGGAATATTAAAGAGGAAAACGAGGTGTAACAAAAAGCGGCGCGTGGAAAGTGGTGTACCGTAAGAACAAGAGGAAGAAGGCGAAGGCGAAGAAGGCAAGGAAACCGCCACCATATAACCAAACGATGCTCCTCCGTGCGTAGAGCCGAGCCGCGCCACCACGGGCTTAAGAAAGTGGTTTGTATATTACGTCGTTGGCCTGCGGTCGCAGGCAAATCGCCGCTAAAACGTTCTGGCCGCAGTCTCGCCTCCTGCTCGCGCGCGATGTTCTCCTTTTCCGTCCTTCGCCGCCTCTCCCTCTTGCCCGGCCTTCTCTCCTCCGTTCTCAGCTCTGGATATCTATCTGGTTACGAGCGCGCGCGGACACCGAAAGCCGAGACTTTTAAAATCCTCGCTCGGCGAATATTCCATCGCGGTAGTGCATACCAACCAGCCGCAAGAATTCGTCGCACCTTAATTGAACTGGTTGCCAGGCACAGTTCCGCGTGAAAATTTGTCGCCGATCTCACTGAGTCGATACCTTCGATATACACGGTGAACCACGAAGTGTGATCAGTTTAGATTACTTTGCTGCTAGTCGTTCAGTGGGAAATTTTTTCCAGTTAAAATAGCATGATTGAAGATAATTGTATTTCGTAGAACTCCGATGAACTGACCTGAAATTGCATTTTGCCACGCCGACGCTAATCGCTTAATCACGCATCGAGGTCCTCGGGATCCTGGAGATTTCAACGCGTGGTTAAGCAACGAACGTCGGCATGCCATTGGTATTGCCGCCGTCCACGATTGGACGAACTAAATATAATTGTAAAACTTTACTAAACCGTGTAGAAATTTGAGAAACATGGACTGGAGGTAGAAAATGTTTGTTTTTTTAGTATCGGCGTCGTCGAGGCTAGGAAGTCCGCGGGCGTCCGCTATTAGGGCGAGCCGGAAACGGGCGTTGAGCAGTTCACCGTACTCGGATCGTTTCGACATCGACAGCATGATCCGATTCAGCCCGAACAGCCTGGCCTCCATCGTAAACGGGTCGCGGAGTAGCAGCGCGAGTGGCAGCTACGGTCATCTTTCCGCCGGTAAGTGAAATTACTTGTTCCGCATTTTTTATAATCATTATTCATTTTCAGGATATTTTTTTTTATAAAATACGCAAATAACTAACTCTGTAAAACAGTTTTCTTTTTCTTTGTCTTGTAAATTCTACCTTATGTAAAATTCTACCTTATATGGAAACCTTACAGACGTATTTGAACAGCACGATCGTTACGCAATTGCGAATAAGAGGCCAGCCGATTATTCGCTCGTGGTCCGTAAGTTTCGGCGCGTCGCGGAACACCTGCGGTTAATTATTCCTTCTCCCGCGACGGGGAATGAGATGGAGGAAAGAGACGTTACGAGCGATTTACGCGGCGGGATAAATGAGCGGGTGAATCGCGCGGGGCGGAGAAACCGGCAATTAAGAGATCACCCGCGCGGTTGCACGCGGGGCTCCGAAAACGTAAGTTACCGGCGTGTTTACCCCCGCGTTCCGCGTGATTGATCGCTCGTAATTACCGGCGAGCTCTCTCGCGCCGACGGTTCGTCGCCGTCCCTCGATCGGATCGGGCCAACCATAAACGTTTTCGCGAGGGGGATACGCGATACGTGAATTATACGCTTGTAATTACACCCAAGCTCGAAGAGACGCGGTCGTTAATGCGCCACTACCGACGCCGAGTGATTGCCATTCGGGGATCTTCAACGAGTGCCACTTTTCATTCCCTGGCCTCGTTTCGGTGGAAATTCGAAATTTCATTGGATAGAAAAGAATCGATGCTATTTAATATTGAGAATCATTTTATCTTAGTATTATAATGAAGGGCGTGGCTGGTCGAGCGGTGAAATCGAGTAGAGGGTGATACTGCGTGTGAAAATAAGTGAAACGTCTTTTTACGTATTTCTTACTTTTTTCAATTTTCAGTTTTAGTTCAATTGTTAGTAATTGGTAGACGTGAACATTTAAAAATCGTTTTTCGAGCAACGGGTTCGCACAATTTGCCTTAAGGACGTATAGGCTATACATATACTTAAACAATGCTAGCATGTTGAATTTGTTATTATAG